CACGGTTAATGCAATTCAGCTTCTCTGATTGCAGCCCTTCTCGCAGTCGTGCAAGAGGACAGGAGCTGTCACCAGCACACTCATACACACATGGAGATGTATGTCACTGGTGCTCTCACCTATGCTAACTTTGCCTTCCTACCTGAGTGTGTGACAACATGAGAGAGAAGACAAACCCCATCGCTGGACCTCCCTACACATCATTTCCATGTGAGATAGGATCATAGAATCATCTAGGTTTGGAAGGGACCCTTCAAATCAACAAGCCCAACCATCAACCTAACGCTGACAAAACCACCCCTAAACCATGTCCCTGAGCACATCTACCCATCTTTTAAATACCTCTGGGGTGGTGATTCCACCACTTCCCTGGGCAGCCTGTTCCACTGGCTATAAAGCCTCTTTTTCTCCTCCTGCAACAGGAAAATAGAAGACAGCTTATTTTGGTTGTGTGCTGTACTTCTGGGCAGTCATTCGCTAGGGACATTCATTGGTCAAAGCAATGGCCTCAGGTAGTAGACCCACACAAGGAAACTCAAAGTTGAATTTCATTCATCTGGGCAAAACAAGAGTTAACTGCTGTCCTCTCTGCAAACACAAAAATGGCACCTACTTGGGCCCAGATGCCCAGCTATAATGGAGACAATGAAAGCAATTCAACAGCCCTGGTTTACCTCATCTAATGCCAGTCCAAGTATTCCCAATAATTAGGCCTTTCAGCCTGGAAAGGCTGGAGCCACAGCTGCTTCCTATTTTCCCGAAGCTGTACAGAGCATTAGTCATTTCACTGGGTTTTTTTTTTTTATTTTTTTTATTACCGTGACTACAGCCGAGTAAGTGTGCCGCCAAACCTCAGACAAGCCAAATCAGGCTCAATTCAGAACGAACATCGGGAGTTTGAAATTATCTCCTATCCCCCTTCTGAGTCCTTATTTTCCCTCCCCACCCAAACAGCCTGAAGAAACATCCGGCAAGGTCTGCTTTCTTAACACGTACCAGGTTGACCAAAAAGAAGTACTGATTGCTGGCACTTCCACCCCAACTGTTATTCATTAACCAATCTTGGGAGTGACCTTGACACTTAATTAGTCATCTAGTCCTTCCTGAAGGCGAACCTTTTCCCCACACCATGGTGGTTGAAGAAGGGATGGGGATCGTATTTAGCAAGGAGGAGTATTGCTGTAATTTTGGCAGCTCATGAAGGGAGCAGAGACCCATCTGCCCTCACCTACCAAGATTGTGTTAGAGAAGGCTTTGCTTTTACCTCTGGAGGCTCCAAGTTGTCCTGGCTGTGACATTCAGACACCATGATAGGATCTCCAGGTCCTCTACCTTCACTCAACAGCAGCATTTGCTCTTTGCAGTTTAACTTACAGTATCTGAACCGAGTGGTGATGCCCCAGCAGAGCAGCTCCAAACCAGCAGTTGTCCTTGCTACGCAGCGGCCACCTCTCAGCCCACGCTCATGATATGACCTTGTCTCCTCTTTCCATGGTTGCAAGAGTCCCAGGAAATGGTGGAAATAGGGTAGCTCGCCCTGGAGGTGGAAAATGAGTAGCTGAATGTTATTAATGTGGAGACAAAAAGAGGAACTACAGCTGCTTTAGTGCCTCTCTTCCCCCTTCACAGGTAGAGCTGTGTCTGTGTACAAGGAAGAAAACATCCATCCCCATAACCAGGGTTTTTTTCTGGTGAATTGGTGTCCCAGAGGCAGTGGACTCATCCTTCTTGCCAATTTGTGTTTCACCTAGTGCTGGGCAAAACTAGTTTGATTTAGATAGGAACTGACCCAGACGCTGCTGTTTACACCCCAAGCCTCTTAACATCCCTTTTTTTTTCCTTTTTAAATTAGGAAAGTTTCTACCCGTCTTGATTTCAGCACAGATGGGAGGTTTTCACTCCATAAATACTGGATTTTGTGTCTGGGCAGAAGTTGAATTATGGGATCATCTGATTAAAAACCCACATTAAATCATTAATGAAATGAGCTGTCTGATTATATAAGTCATATTCCTCTTATTTCTAACTTGGCCACCAGCCGAAAGAAGCTGGAATCCAAAGAAGCAGCCAACCTTGTCTGTGCTTCAGACGTCCCTCAGTTTTATGACTAAGGAGGAAGGGAGGAACAGCATTTCCCAGAAAAGTGGGGACCGGTGCTAAGGAGCGAGTTTGGGATGGAGAACCAGAGGTGGAGGAGATCCAATACCCTGTTTCAAGTCAAAGAGGTTTGGGTGGGAATTGGTAGAGCGCTGCTGGCTTCCAGAGGGTTTTGTCTTACACAGCTGCCTGCACATGGAGGACTCTCAGCATCCTTTGGGTTAACTTTTCCAACTGGAGAGGTTGGGATGCTGGGAGAAGCAGGGATCCAGCTGTGTCTCACAGCTGGCCAGCTGCCGGTTTCCTGCGCTGTAGCAGGAGAGCAAGACGCCTGCTGCCTTCCACAGGCAGCAGTGTGACTTTTGCTAAAGAGCTTCATCACCGCCCCCGCCCCCGAATTCTCCCTCACACACAAACATCTTTAATTGGCTTTATTTTCAGGTTGATCCTGTTTTGACACTGGAAGGAAAAACCCTCAATAAATTTAAAAGATAGCTGAGGGAAGGACGCTTCATTTGTTTTTTTCTTTGATAGGGACTTTTCAAATGCCATATTAAAACGAAATGAAAGGTCTTTTGTTAAAGATCTGAACAGGGATAATGCTTTTGGCTTCAGTTCTTGATAGCCATGGACTTCACAGTAGATGAGTCAGGACCCCATTCCGAAAAATGCTTACCTCTCCTGTAGACACTGAAATATCTTCCTGGATCTGGCTTTTGATCTGTCTGAGTCTCAATTTCCTTTCTGGGAATTGAGATGAAAATTGTCTTTCTTTCTCCTTGTTGTTTGTCTTCTTGCCTGAAAGCTACATGGAAGAACTGAAAGGGAGGTGAAGGTTGCTGAATGTGCTCCTGGTAGGTACGTGAGGCCACATGGACTCAGTCTTCCACAGTCCTTCAGGTATATCTGTGTTCAGGAAGGAGTGAGCATATTTGAGTGCTGCCAGAATGGGGATGCTTGCTCAGTTAGCAGAGAGGTGTTGTGAGCATGTTTGAGTGCTGCCAGACTAGGGATGCTTGCTCAGTTAGCAGAGAGGTGTTGGGGTTGCACCCAAAACATCCCTGGAGGTACCTGCATCTCTCTACCATCTGTTCAAGGAGCCAGGATCTGGCAGTTCTGGGCTATGGGGGACCTGGATTGGGGTTGCACCCAAAACACCCCTGGAGGTACCTGCATCTCTCTACCATCTGTTCAAGGAGCCAGGATCTGGCAGTTCTGGGCTATGGGGGACCTGGATGGACCAATGTTCCTGACTAGAACAGCAATTTTTGTGCTCTTACTTAGTGTGCAAACTCTTCAGGAAGGAGGACTATGGCTTCTTATGACTTTGTGGTGCCAAGTGCAGCACCTCTCCCCATGCTCTATTAACTCGAGCAATAAACACGCCTTCTGGTGGGGGATCATCTGTCTTTGATGTGTTCCTCCTTCAGAAGAAGCTTCTTCCATGGCTTTGTGCAATAGCTTCTTTTATTTTTCATCTTGTTGTGGCTCAGTTGTGCTGAGTTGAGGCAGCCATGGCACCGTTCCTTCTCGTGGGCGGTTTTCTACAGCTGAGCAGAGGAGCACAGGGGAGGCCGTGGCCTACAATCAGTGCAGCCTTTTCATCCAGAGACGGAGAAGAAAATGCAGTCAATCAAGTTGTTGTTGTTGTTGTTTTTAACATAGTACAATCGTTCAGTCTGTCATGAGCAAATGCAAATCAGGGGAGCGTGGTGGTGAAGCAAACGAATGCAAAACACAGAAATCAGTGAGCCGTGTTTTCTCTCAGAGCTGGGCTTTGATTCATGAGCAAGATTGACTCATATGGGAACGGCTGATATGGGTCTTGCCCCTGCACAAACACAATCTGTCCTGTGGCCGCTCCATCGGAGCTGAGCTGCTCAGGAGGCACCTGCCATGCCCCACAGGCCAGCCAGCTCTGCTAGGATGTGACCCAGGACTTCCATGTTCATTGGTTTGGGGTTTGATTTGCTTCAGGGGGTTGCTGTAAACAGGCTGGGTTTGGAAGTTGTTTCTTGAGCAAAACCTCAGCTATCCAAGCAGCAGGAAGAGGGAGCATAGTTAAGGGTAGTCCTTTTTTCTTCTCACAGCCAGTAGATATGACAGGGAGACCATCACCCTGATGGTGATGAGGGGCAGCTGGAGATACCAAAATCATCTCCAATGTCCCCAGACACTTTTGTGTGGGCAACTGAAACCTACCTCTTCCCTGTACAGGCAGCAGAGCCTGGGGAGCTGCTCAGCTACATTTAACGTAGACATCTGGGTCATCAGTTGGATCACTCCATATGCTCTGCTGACTGCACCGGTTATGTCTCTATTGACCTTTACGGATCTGAGAGCCTGGTGCCCTGCCCTGAAATATCTGCGGGTGTCTTCATTTAGACATAAATCTCATCCTGAAGTGGAAGGGCTTCATTCCTTATGCTTCCAGTGTTCCAGGGTAGTGGACCTGACCTGCAGTGGCTGCTCCAGGAGGGCATGGGTCTCCTTGAGGTCACCTGCTGCCTCTGACACCCCTTGTGCCATGGTGGGAACAAAGCAGTACTGATGTCAGGGCCAACACCCAGTGAATCCTTCCCACCTATTCAAATAGGGGAAAACTAATCTCACACCAGAGCAATGGTCCCCTATCCAGTCTTTGCTGGGCTGTGATCCCACACTTTGATTGCCCCTCCTTGAGCATGGACAGCCTGGGAATGGGGGTACATCCCACCTAACTGTTGATAACTACAGCTGTGCTCCCTTCATAGTCAGCCAAGAGACACTGTCTCTCATTATCTGTATTAAACCTCCACTGAGGGTAAGAGGAACCCAGCTGACCAGCACACATACTATTGTATCCAATTATATAGTTATTTTGTTTTTTCCTTCTTCCTTTTCCTTCTAGCTCAGACTGCAGGATGACAGAGGGTGACACAAATCTCCCAACTATCGAGAGAAAGCTGGGACTGCAGATATGGAGCATAGAGGTATGACAAGAGGCAATGATGGCATATGTCCTCTGCACATGTGTGTGTGTGTGGTTCAAGAAAGAGCTGTTCTCGAAGTAATCTGGGTGGGAAAACAGGTTCTTACAGATAAGATGCAGCGGAAAACATGAGACACAACATCTCCTGATGCAACTTTCAGCATGTTGTTGCTTTGTTTCCTGCTCTGTAAAACAAGGATAATATTGAGTAAGGAAACATGAATGTGGTGGGACTGAATCAGCACTGGAGGCTTTTTCATCTGCTTCAGGAACCAATGTAAATCTGCTTTAGCACACCAGAAATTAATGCCCTGTTTCATGAAGATGAGAGGTTACGTATATATAACTTCAGTCTGTACCAGCATTTGCCATGGGGAAGGCACCCATTTTTGCAGCAAAGGTGTCCCATGGAGTCTGTTTCCACTTCATCCTTGTCTTTCCCACTCTGATCAATGGGTCACTGCAAGGAGAAACACCACCACCTGCAAGGTCACCTTCTGCTTGTGGTGGTATTTGATTTTGAATTGGAGCTGTGTTGTGCTCAATTCTGCCTTCTTCTGGCCCAATTCTGCAAGGATATTAATCTGCAATGAGAGGGGCCATAGACGGAGGTGCAGAGTCCACACAGGGGAGCAGTGAGAAGGGGCTCCAACACATCTCCAAGTGGTGGTAGTCCCTCACACATCCCAGCTATGTTCCAAATATCGCAGGGTCTTTGCCTTCCCATTTCTCTCCAAAGCACTGTACTAAGCTTCTTTCCAGAGAATCTGTAATTAGAGCCTGCAATGAGAGGGGGCATAGACAGAGGTGCAGAGTCCACTCAGGGGAGCAGTGAGAAGGGGCTCCAACACATCTCCAAGTGGTGGTAGTCCCTCACACATCCCAGCTATGTTCCAAATATCGCAGGGTCTTTGCCTTCCCATTTCTCTCCAAAGCACTGTACTAAGCTTCTTTCCAGAGAATCTGTAATTAGAGACATGTCGGTTCACAAGGGTCAAGCTGATATGCTGGGAAACAAGTTAGGCCACCAGAAGAATGTGTGTCTCTGATTCCAGGGAACCACAGAGCCAGTTCCAGCTCGGGAGCTGTGTGTGTACTGGGGGGTGGCACATCAAGGCACTTATGCTGGGCAGGCATGTAATTCTGCACTTGTACCAGAGGAAGTGTGCAATTAGGGTCTGGAGGGGTGAGGGACACATCATTTTCCTCAAATCCATCTGTTCTCAGCACTGCTAGTTGCACATCATTTTCCACAAATCCATCTGTTCTCAGCACTGCTAGTTGCTCTGAATCCCTGGCAAAGTGGTTATCTTAACAAAGCCCTGAATGTTACCCTTGAACTTAGAGGTACTGAGTAAAAACCACACCTCAAAACTAAACCTAGGATGAGATGTGCTCACTCCCCTGGGAAATTCCCTACAAAAGCAAGCTCTGGAGCACTTCAGCCTGACCTCTAGGTCTTCTTGCTCTAGACCTGCAAGATTGCTGAAGAGCAAGGAGACTAAAAAATACTTGCCAATCTGCCCAAGCAACATTATCATTTGCCCCTTCTCACCCCTTCGTACTTCTGGGATTTCCCCCAGAAGTGGTTTTTCCTAACTCACAAGCACAGCCCTGGTTCTTCCTCCTCCAAACCCTGCTTGTCACCTTAGTGTTTCACGCACCCCAGCTGTACTGTTTCACACATGTCAACTTCTGCCTCTGAAATTCCAGCAATGACCCCAATGCTCATTTCCTTACAGAATATGAAGATGGTTCCTCTACCTGAAAAAGCTTTCGGGACGTTCTTTGAAGGGGACTGTTACATAGTTCTGCACGTAAGTAAGGCTAGCAAACGCTGGTCTCTGGGGTAGGAAAGTGGTTCAATTCTTTTTGCTTAGCCCTGGCTTGGATGATGGTATCCCCACTGCTGAGAGCATCACTGTGGGTAAAAGTGGCCGTGCGTGTGTGTTCACACACCTGGATTTAATGTGGCTGTTGCATTAAGACTGTGTTTAGTAAATTAGAAATCCAGAGGAACCGTTAACTTAGTAATTCATTGAAATTGTTCATTTTCTGATCAACTGAGTCATGTCCAGACATGGAAAAATGGCCAGTACATTCCTGGCAATGTGCTTTCACCATCTCATCACACACCTGGATTTAATGTGGCTGTTGCATTAAGACTGTGTTTAGTAAATTAGAAATCCAGAGGAACCGTTAACTTAGTAATTCATTAAAATTGTTCATTTTCTGATCAACTGAGTCATGTCCAGACATGGAAAAATGGCCAGTACATTCCTGGCAAACTCAATCAAGGTCTGTGTTGGGATTTCCCCCAGAAGTGGTTTTTCCTAACTCACAAGCACAGCCCTGGTTCTTCCTCCTCCAAACCCTGCTTGTCACCTTAGTGTTTCACGCACCCCAGCTGTACTGTTTCACACATGTCAACTTCTGCCTCTGAAATTCCAGCAATGACCCCAATGCTCATTTCCTTACAGAATATGAAGATGGTTCCTCTACCTGAAAAAGCTTACGGGACGTTCTTTGAAGGGGACTGTTACATAGTTCTGCACGTAAGTAAGGCTAGCAAACGCTGGTCTCTGGGGTAGGAAAGTGGTTCAATTCTTTTTGCTTAGCCCTGGCTTGGATGATGGTATCCCCACTGCTGAGAGCATCACTGTGGGTAAAAGTGGCCGTGCGTGTGTGTTCACACACCTGGATTTAATGTGGCTGTTGCATTAAGACTGTGTTTAGTAAATTAGAAATCCAGAGGAACCGTTAACTTAGTAATTCATTGAAATTGTTCATTTTCTGATCAACTGAGTCATGTCCAGACATGGAAAAATGGCCAGTACATTCCTGGCAAACTCAATCAAGGTCTGTGTTTGTCTGACCTTCGGGGCCTGTGAGAGGTGGATGACAGGAGGGTCTCATTTTCAGCAGGAGATGTGGGTTAAGGAGGTGTGCCACCTATTCAGTGTCACACAGAGAGGCTCTGAAAGCCCTTCTCAAGTCCCCATTAAGACACTTCACCTGTCTGGACCTCCACGCAATTTGGTCCAGGCCTACTTGCAACCAGCTCAACCTAGGATAGCTACAAGCATGAGGAACTTCTGAGAACCAGCTCTGCTATATGGGCTGTACAAAGTGCCTTGTGTTCCCAGAACTCTGTGGGAGGATGATTGCATTCAGCTCCCAGACTTCCTTCCAAATCTCTTCATCTGCACGCAGCAACCTAGGCCCCATTGCATCAGACAACATCCATACGGTGGAAACCAGAAGCATTTCCCACTTCCTGGGTCAAAGTGTCCCTCCTGCAAACATCTCCATCAGTCAAGAGACAGCAAAGCCTCTATTATCCCACAGTAAACAAATGGACATTCTCTATGTGTCAAGCTGGGAAAGCAGGCTGGGACAGTGACACAGAATGAGTGTCCTGCTCTAATTCACCACCCATATGCCTTTACACTACCTTTTGAGTGCTTTTGGTGAATCGGTTTGGTAGCAGCCACCCAAAGACATGGTTAGAGGAGAATATGTGTCCTTGCACGAAGTTGACTCTAGATACCACTGTAGATGTTGACGCTCACAGGGTCAGCTTACCTTGCAACAGCTTCCCCAGGCAGAAAAGCCTTTCATCAGCCCACTGCTCTCCTCCACCCACTGCAGATGGGAGGGTAAAAATACTAATCTTCGCATTCTGCATCTTGACTGGAGGCTCTCCAAACAAAGACAGCCCACAGAACAATGGGACTTTGATCATCTTCAGTAACAGTGTATTAAATTGAGCAATTTTGCAACAAATTAATTAGCTGTGCCTTGGAGGAACTGAGCTCATTCAAGTTGTTCTAGCGTGTGTTTCGCTGTGGTATCAGCTCCACAAAGCAAATAAACACAACTTAGTGTCGAACCCAGTGTATAAGATGAGCTTTTATTACCTTTCCCAGGTGTCCATGATGGAGTTTAACACAGTAGGTGCCGGGTACAACTCACACAACGATAAGCACACCTGTTCTCAGATGGCTTGCCTCCTCTTTCTAAGCTGTTGGGGTTTCCTGTAATGAGATGAATCACAGCACGCACACACAGCCTCGGCTTCCTTTGGAGCTCAGTCTGTTTTGCAAGTCAGCAGGAACTCAGAGGCAGTTTGTGTTACTATGTAGTGTGAGATGAGAAAGAGAAAAGGGAAAGAAATTATAGTATATCCAGGCAAATAAATAGCAGTGTACATTGCTTTTAAAAAAGGAGATCTATGAGAAGAGTCTCCTTTAAGTTTTAATATCAGACTCTGCAAAGGTAGGACAGGTTGAGCGTGCTAATTTTTGCAATTGCACAGGTGCTCAGTTTTCCTTGATATCAAGAATTATAAAAGCACTTAAGACAAAAACATCCTTCAGTGCAGTGCTCTCCCAAATCAGCTCCAAGGCTGAGCTCCCAAGGAGAAACCTAAGGCTCTGTCTTGTCTCCCTTTGCCCAGACAAAAGGCAGAATGGGGAAAGGCCCTGGGAAAGGTCTCCAGAGTCGCTTGGTTTTGCCAGATCTCCCTGGGCAGTGATGTTATTTGAAACACACGTATGAGCTGTGTCTTCATCCTGACTTGTCTTTCCCACCTCTTCCAGACCAAAAGGACCTCTCGTGGCTCCGCTGTGGATTTGCATTACTGGATTGGCAAGGACTCATCTCAGGATGAGCAAGGCGCCGCGGCCATGTACGTCACCCAGCTGGACAACGCCCTCGGGGGGAGCCCCGTGCAGCACCGGGAAGTGCAGGGACATGAGTCCGAGACCTTCCAAAGCTATTTCCGCAACGGCATTATGTGAGTAGCGTAAAATACCCTGCAACGAGGTGGGTCATGGTCCTTGGGGTTCTCTCTCCTTCTCTGCATCTCAGGGGCCATCAACGTTTCAAATATCTGAAAAACATGGATCAGCACTGAAGTTGGTCAAAATTCAGAAGCAGAATTTCCCATTTTGAAAAAAATTAGTTGTAAACATTGGAACTGGAACCATGTCATTCTCTTCTACTGGTCTTTTTCCCAGATACTTGCTATAAATGCAACTTAACCTCCCTTTTGTTCACTCTAGGGTCCTCCTTCCTCTCCTCCTGACACTTTAAATTAATACACCCACTCAGGGCAGTTCAGACTAACATCCACCTTGACAAGAAGGGCTGATTTGGCTCACACTGGGCATAAAATTCCTGCAGTAGAAGTAAAGTTTGACTCTGAACTTCAACCATCTAAAATTGGGTTTAATCCTACCCTGTGGCCGTGGCTCCCTTTTGGATCTTTCAAAGGTGACTCCAGGAGGACCTTCAGTGGCAAAAAAACAACTGAAGTGCCTTGTTTTTAAAGAGCTGAAGAAAACTCAGATGAAAACCCATCCTTGGTTAATACCTTCTATCCTAGTCTGGTTTTTGATAACTTTGTACTGTACATCTCTATAACCTCTCACGAGTTTCCTCAGGACTCTTGTAAGACAAAAAAGTGCTTTTATCTTCATTATAAAGATGACTAAGGGGCAATGAAGGACTAAAATTCAGACCTCCAAAAGCGTGTAGGTTTAGAAATCCATTTGGAAACCTATCTGCCTGTGAAATCAGTATGAGTTAGACATCGTCTTGGTCTAAACCACATGCCTAAGGTCAAACAGGATGTCTGAGGCAGAATGAGAAATTAAAGCAGGCTCTTTCCACACCTTGGCAGGTGGACTAATCACCAGAGCATCCTTCTGGGATATGTTCAACTGGGCCAAACAAGTCTGAAGTACTGTGAACCACTCACACGCCTGACCACGTTTGCCAATCTCTTCCAAGCTATGATAAAACACATGTATACCCACATAACTATATATTACAGCTAACTGTAAAAGTTTCAGCAATTATCTCTTTCCCACAAATAGCAGTTACATGCATCAATTACATTGTGTCAATTATTACTGTAAGACCTGAAGAATGAACATCAGATCTGTCTTCTAATATGGTCTAGGACATGTGGAAGTGGGTTAGATTTGTTCAAAAACCATTAAAAAGGCTCTGGGAGTTCCTCTGTGTGCTGTCAGGAGGTGATAGTGTCTTCCTTGCAAAGTTGCATGGAAAGGAGAGGATGGCATCATGCAGTGGGGCAGTTCAGTTCTAACAGCAGCTATCACAAAGTGTGTGCTCAAGGACAGAAGGACAACAAAATTGGTAGATTAAATCTGAGAGAAAGACAGTGTTCTGTACCTGTTTATGATCACATTTTGTTCTGATATGGCAACAATTTCCTATCTAAGCTACTTTTAATAGAGTAACTATTAAAAAAAAAACAAACCAAATTTCAGCAAAAAGTAAATATTCTGCAAAATACATTTCATTTTTTAATTGAATGTTTATGGAATATTTCAATTCTGAGATGGCACTGCCGTGGTTAATGGGATTTTCCGTTCGGTTGTGTTATGTTTCCATTGCCATCCTTGACCTACCTGTTGATCTACACACCTTCGCTCAGGACGCACAACAGCAGGCAACAACCCAGGCAGATGGACACCATGAGGACTCATGGTTTGACCAGGGACCATGAACAGTAGAGAGAAGCAGCACAGCATTTGACATTCAATTTTTAGGACTTTGAGATTATATCAGCTCTAAGTTTTTTGGTTGTCACCAAAAGCTCGAGATGTTCTCAGAGAATAGAGGGGAAGGTACTTTCTAACCAGCTCTAACTCTTTATGCCCTGCTACACAACAGCTACAAGAAGGGAGGAGTGGCTTCAGGATTTAAGCACGTGGAGACCAATATGTACAACATCAAGCGTCTTCTTCATGTCAAGGGGAAGAAACACGTGTCAGCCACAGAGGTAAGAAGAAGACCCCTCTCTCCTTATGAATAATTTCTCCTTGCCTCTCATCCTTCACCCATTTTCAACCAGGTTTGCCTGCCAGATAGCTCCTCTCTGCTCAAGGACCCCCACTACATGATCATTTTCAAGACCTTGCTCAAGGGTTTGGTCTTACCATGAGAGAAGCCATTGGGCTCAGTGAATTGCTGAGAGCAGTTCTTACATCCCCAGGGACAAGTTCGCAACGGCTGTGACTTATCTCCTGCAGCTCTTGTTATCTCCCATCATCTGCCAAATGCTTTCTTTTCCTCATGACAGGTAGCGCTTTCCTGGGACAGTTTCAATAAGGGTGATGTTTTCTTGCTGGACCTTGGGAAAGTACTGATTCAGTGGAATGGACCCACCTGCAGCATTGCTGAGAAATCCAGGGTGAGTAGAGGAGAAAACCCCTCGGTTTATTAATGGTATTTTTTGATGCCTGGAGGGGGGAAAATAGAGAAACAGTGCTCAATATTTGCCCAGTGAAAATCTCAGTAAAACCAGCAACACAGAGATAAACAGAGAAAATCACAGTAAATCATCTACTTTCCCATCTGCTGATATCAGAGGTCCAGGGAAGGTCTTTGCTTACAGTCCAGACCTGGCCTCAGCTTGAGTTTCATGGGCATATCACTAGCTCCAGCTCCAGAAAGGCATCCAGCTCCCTCTGGGGAGGTCCATCTCCATCCCTCTATGCCACGTAGTTTGCATGACGTGGGACTAAAAAGTCAGCAGCAGCACCAGTAGGTTTATCTGCAGTGGTAGATGATAAATTTAAAATTTTTTTACTGCATCACAGGGAATTCCAGCTTGGTCAGTATGAGCCAAGCAGGCTGCTGTGGTAGATGAATTTTAAATTTTTTTACAGCATCACAGGCAATTCCAGCTTGGTCAGTATGAGCCAAGCAGGAGTATGTAACCCAGGTGTTGCTAGGTCAGATCCATAGCTCTTAAGGCACTTTTTGCAAAGGGGTCATTATCCTTATTTCACTGATAAGGGAAACTGAGATACAGAGATGTAATAAAGCAAGGTATATCAAGATGTCCTAAGCAAAGTTGATGGCCAACCTTGTAGCCAGTCATTATATACATTAGAAGGCAGGTGGGTCTGCTTTTCATGTAGTGGCACCTGATGAGCAAGGACAAGGGGACGCTTCACAGGGAAGGCAGTTCTCCAGGACATGATGGTGAGGGGTGAAAATCCAATAGAGGGTGGAGAAAAGAAAAAGAAACTCTCAGGACACAGAGGAGGGGGAGCAGGTAGAGGGAAGGATGCTGTCAGGAACAAGCCATGGTTCATCTCAGGCCTGGCAATCGAGCAGGTCATTTCCTAGGTCTAACAAAGAGGGGCCCCTTTCAAAGCTATTGCGGTAAGAGTCATGGAAAAAAAGAATTCAATGGAAAATGGAGATTTCAGCCTAATTAGTTGCTTGGCATTTCACGCTGCTTTTTTTCATTTCATGTAGTGGCACCTGATGAGCAAGGACAAGGGGACGCTTCACAGGGAAGGCAGTTCTCCAGGACATGATGGTGAGGGGTGAAAATCCAATAGAGGGTGGAGAAAAGAAAAAGAAACTCTCAGGACACAGAGGAGGGGGAGCAGGTAGAGGGAAGGATGCTGTCAGGAACAAGCCATGGTTCATCTCAGGCCTGGCAATCGAGCAGGTCATTTCCTAGGTCTAACAAAGAGGGGCCCCTTTCAAAGCTATTGCGGTAAGAGTCATGGAAAAAAAGAATTCAATGGAAAATGGAGATTTCAGCCTAATTAGTTGCTTGGCATTTCACGCTGCTTTTTTTTCACAGAAAGCATCCCCTGTTTTTGAATACTTGAAACATTTAAATGTAAAATGTCACCATGGGGCGCCTGGGGTCCTGCAGCTCTGCAGCGTGCAGCCTGGTTGTCCTCAGCATGCATGCATCTCTCTCCCAGACTGTCTCAGAAGATCATTGGACCTGCTCATGTACATAGGCAGTGCCTGTCATGGACACTATTTGCCTGTGCCCTGTGAGAGCAAGCGCCAGGAGTGACTGTAATAAACAATATTTTCCTGAGAGTTAGTTAATAAGCAGACATTATAGACACATCCCCCTTTTTAATAGCCAAATTTGGAGGACACTAGAAGCTTCAGAGAGCTGTGGCCATCTGGCTTGGCGTTTTGGTGCTCAGTCATTGCTCTAGGTCTGAGGCTTGCTGAATTTGGTGTCTGGGTCAGGACTTACCCCTGGTGATCCCTGTGCAGGGTCTCGCTCTGGCTCGCAGCATCAGGGACAGTGAAAGAGGCGGCCGCGCTCAGATCGGCATCATTGACAATGAGAAAGACTCCCCGGACCTCATGCAGATCATGAAGATGGTGTTGGGTGAGAGGCGCGGGGAGCTCCGAGATGCCATCCCAGATACAAAAGCAGATGAGCTGCAGAAAGCCAACGTCCGGCTCTACCAGTAAGTCTGGGGATGGGCTCCAAACCCCATCCTTTCTCACAGCAAGCACTGTATAGCCTGACTCTGCATGGTGACTCTGTTTTTCAGTGTCTACGAGAAGGACAACGACCTGGTGGTACAGGAGATAGCCACCCGGCCCCTGACGCAGGATCTGCTCCAGCATGAGGTGAGAGAAAGCCTTCAGAGCTTACAGGGAGAAAGGGATGCTGTGGCTTGCTTTATTTTCAGCTGAGCACCTGTTTCAATGGGGTACCTCATTTCCTGAAAACTACCAGTATTTCCATCCTTCAGGTTGATCAGGTGTCCTCTGAAAACAGTACAGCTTGGCACTACAACAGCCTCAGTGGCTGGAGGTAGGTGGTGCATTGAAGCTGCTCTAAGGAGAGATGGCAAATGGACCCTGCTCAATCAAGGATGATATTAGCTTGTCAATCAGACTCAAAGAGAGCTAAATCTAAATCTTCAACAAGAGCTCAACCTGGGTAGGCTACAAATGAGGACCTTTGCCTGTGCAGAGTTTTTTACCTCTCTTTCTCCTGTTCCACCCCAGGACTGCTACATTTTAGACCAAGGTGGTTTTAAGATCTACGTCTGGAGAGGAAAAACCTCCAGCCTGGAAGAGAAAAAAGCAGCCTTCACTCGAGCTGTGGTGAGTTGTAGTACAGTGCAAACAATGTTGTGGGAGGTTAACTAAGTGCTAATCTAGATCTGACCACTAATTACAATTAAGTGTATGTCTGGAGGAACTGGCCTGTGTAGTAACAGAGAGAGAAGTTAGATGTCTAAGGGAGGCTTGATGACGTAAACAAAGAATTGTTAGTCACTAAATTGGACTAGAACTAAGACCTGACACTAAAACTAGGGAGAGATTCGTTAAAGAAAATAAAGTATAAAAGAAAATACTTTGTCGCACAGTAAGTGGTGGACTTCTGAAATTTGCTGATTCAAGAGATGGTGGAGGCAGAGAGTATCTGCAGGGTCAAGATGGGATTAGGCAAATTCATGGTCACCAGGTCCATAAAAAGATGACCCCATATTAAGGATGCTGGGGAGAGTGAAGGTATCACACTGCAGCCAGCCACCAGGCTCACCAGTGCTCACTAAACAGCATCTCGTAATGCCACTGCCCCAGGCAGCGTGGACCACAGCTCTGACCCTGAAAGGCATCTTTTGTGTTCCAAACCAAGTGGGGAAGTTGATTACTTGGGCTCTCTGGAAAAGCCAGACCTCACATGTAGGTTCTGCAAGCCTCAACCCCAAGTCTGTTATGGGCAGTAAGTCTTCTTCACCATGGTAATGGGTCTGAGCCCAGGTTCTGCCTGGGAATTTGAAGATGATACAGGGCTCTTCCACTGGGTAGAAGGGGATCTGTTATTAACTGCTGTTAATTCAGATGGCCAACCTGAGGCAAGACCAGGGCTCATGTTAAGGTAGAGCACACCAGTACAGTGCCCTGGCACCTCCAGATGAGATGCCATGCAGTTATTTTCTGGCAGAGCATGCCTCAGTGCTTCCTGTCAGAAAAAATTAGCCTCAAGGGAGCCTGTTTGGTAGGTTTTTTACAAGTTGGCAAGTTGAAGTGAAGGCTACAAGCTAACTTAGCTTTTAATTCATCTTTTGTCTATTCACTTATGTGAAGACCATAAATGGCCCCATCTTCAGTGAGATCTTATCAGGAGATACTGAACTTCAGTGGCCCCACCTTCAACAAGGTCATACCTGGAGACACCCAGCTTCAATACCGATTGCAGCTATTGTTTGTAGCTATTGTCTTGGAGAAGACAATAGCTTAGACTAACTTTGCCTGAAAACTTATATTGCGGTCCTAAAGGCTCTTTTCAAAAGCTTAACTCAGATGCTTTTAAGTAGGCAATCATCTCTGTAAATTCTGGCCCTGAGCTACACATGTAGAACAAAAGATATCTCTTTCTTTCAGTGTGGCAGGTGGGAGGGATGGGAGGACCATCTGCTCTGCTTTTCCCCGGGGGGGAGTGTGTGGCTGCAGTATTTACAGCAGAAGATGAATGCTCAGAAGCCCACAATCAGGCTCTTTCCCTGAACCACGGCTGTCAGCGCTGTACCTCCAGGTCATCCTGGAGCCTGCCGAGATAAACACAGAGCAGTTCCCAAAAAACAAGCAAGGACTTTGGCATTGTGGCAGAGCATAGATAATTTTCTTCCCTCTCGCGTTGTATCAAGCACCTCTGTTGAAGTAGTCTTGTAACTCAATAGTGGCTCCATTGCAAAAAAGTAATTTGTTTTTAGTCAATAAATAAAATTTAAAAAAAAAAATGGAGCTGTATGAGACAGAGGAAGAGGCTTTTCATTAGACCCATTGAGTGAGATTTTCTTCAAGCCTAAGGTGCCATGTAGAGATTAAGTTCAGGATGTGATCCAGGTGACCAGCTTCTAGGGGCAGGACTCAGTCTCCTAAACTCAGAAATAAACATAGTCGCTACAGTGACAACTTGTAGACATCTCCGTTTGTAAGTCTGAATGCAAGTCTTGGGGTGAGTCCTGCCCTTGGTCATGCCATTGTGTTCAACGGGGGGAGGTTCACTCTTTGGGCTGGCTCAGGTCTACATCCCTCTTCTCATACCTGTAAAAAGCTCTGTGTGTCCCCACTAACATCCTTTTTCAACATCACCAGGGTTTTATCCAAGCCAAAGGCTATCCTTCATCCACCAATGTTGAAGTGATCAACGATGGAGCAGAGTCAGCCATGTTTAAACAGCTCTTCCAGAGGTGGACAGAAAAGGATGAAACGCAAGGGTTGGGCAAAGTCTACACCACTGGCAAAATCGGTGAGCATGTTTCTCCTGGATTTGGCTTTCCTACCTGTGCTAAGCAACAGCTGAGGGAACATCATTCACATTAACTGTCTCCTGCCTTCAACGTCTTGAAAATCTAGTGCATGTTCTTCTCATGCCTTATACTTTCCACCTTCTTCAGTAGATGCAAAGGGTTCAGGAACTGAACAGAGTTCAAAACCGCTGAGGCTTCTTATATGAACCAAATTGCCACTTATTCCACATGGGAGAAGATCACTCTTGCCTGAAAAATTGTATGCAAAAATTCACACTTGTAGAACTTCCTAATTTGCTTTATAAAGTGCTAATGATGAACGTGATAAGGAAGTGTTGAACAACATTCTGCTTTCATTTATATTGGCATCCACCCAAGATCCTCCTGATGTCAATGGAATATATTCTGTATTTACACCGGTGCAAACAGTGCCTCAATTTATCACACTGCTGAAGTGAATATTGCAATGCGTTTACCCCACGGAGTAAACAACACTGAAGAGAGAGAACTTGGTGGTGAATGATGGGATGGTGACAGAGATGCTGAATGTCTCCATCAATTATAGCTTCAGGGCTGCAAATCTCTTACACTTGCAAGTTCTCTCTTTCTCTCCACCTCTATCTCTCCCCGTGCGGTCCATAAATGCACTCTCTGTTTATCATGAGCTGGAGAAATGTAGCCATTTTATTTCTGAAAGCAACATTTTAAAGGGAGGGAAATATGTATGGAGTTGGAAACCACTTAGGACTTTTCAGTCAGGAGACAACTAATATTTTTACCAGCCAGCCATCCCTAGAACATGCTATATGGCCCATTGCCAGCCTGTAACAGATCAGCACTGGGATGGTATGAACTCTTTCCAAAATCAACACTGGCTTACTGGTGGCAAGACCTGGCTTCATGCAACCATGGGCCAGGTTTTTCTAGCATGTATAAAGATTGTGCGTGATACAGAGGGTTTGTGTGTTATTGTGCATTCACTGGGTTCTTGTTCTTATTCTGCTGGTGCATACAGCCAAGGTGGAGCAGGTGAAGTTTGACACCACTCAGCTCCACGCCAGACCGGAGCTAGCTGCTGAGCAGAGGATGGTGGATGATGCCTCCGGGGAGGTAGAGGTGAGAGAGCTCCTTTTGCTGTAATCAGTGTGTTTCCAGATATCTCTGTCTTTTCACACACACCTGCTCTACAGAGATGTGAAGTTGTGCCCACCTACCCTCCCCAAGGAAACATGGCTGCAGACAGGGCAAACTGCTTGCAAACTCTAAGTAACGCAGCAGTTAAGTAGCTCGGGGGAGTTTCTCCTCCAACCCATGACCAGTTGAGCAAAGCAGTCAATAAGCTGACGACTCTCCTGCCATGTGTGTGGGTCATGAGACTGATACAGTCAACTCCCTTCTCACACTGTCTCCCAGTTAGGTCTATATCAACCAAACTTGCACAGAGCAGAGGGCCCTCTCCCATTCTGGTGGCCTTCCATGGAAGATGGAGCTGACTGAGAGAGGGGTTGTGGGACTGAGAGAGACCAGGAGGCTGCTCCTCCTTGAGGGCCACCAAGTGCAAAAAGGCTGTATTGTGGTAGCCTCTGGAGAGACCTGACTTTACCAGCAAGCACTTAATCAAGCTGGAGGAACATGGACTGGCATCCAGGGGAGAGAGAAAGGGTTCTCTTTCCAACTGAAGACCTGAACTTCCGTGGTCTGCTGGCGAAGGGGTTGTGCTTTGTCTTCATGCTGACTCCACTGCTGCTCACCAAAATGTTTCTTTCACTAGGTGTGGAGGATTGAAGACTTGCAAATGCAGCCGGTGAATCCCAAGACTTATGGGCAGTTCTACGGGGGTGATTGCTACCTGGTCCTGTACACCTACCTGAGATCAGGCAGGCCACACTACGTCCTCTACATGTGGCAGGTAGGTTGAGCCAAGTGGAGAGGACTATGCTGTGTCTGGTGGGAGCCTGAAACTGAGGTCTCATGGTTTGGGCTGGGCTGGCAACTAAAATGAATGACAGATGCTCTCTTTAACCTCTCTCCCCTTTAGAGAAGGGAAAGCGTCTTCCTTCAGAGGAGAGGAGAGAAAATGAGAAAGACAGAGATCTATGAATTGGAAAGAAACTAAACTACTGAAATATTAATAATAACATAATAAAAAGAAAATATAATAATATTAATAAGAAAATAATGACATATATACAATATATACAACCCATATTGAGCTCCCAGTGTGATGATCACATCACCAGCAGACACTGGGAAAGTGCAAAAATCCCCACCCAAGCATCCAGAAGAACTCACATCATCAGTTGTCCGTTGCGAATATCCCAAGCTGTGCTTTGTAGGCAGCATGGACTCTCTGAGCCCAATCTGGCATTATACTGAGAGCCAGAAATTTCAGACAGAAAGAGTGAGGGATTATGAGGTTTATAGTGCTGAGGTCAAACTTCTCAGTCTTTCAGATTTTCCCTTAAAGCCTCAGCTTCTGGAGTCGTGTAAGTATATGAATATCTCTGCTTTTCTTTTTAAAGTATATTTACCTCCCCTGGAAAGCAGAGAAAAGCTTTGAAAATGGGATGCTGAAGTCTCCAAAACCAGAATGGAAGTGAAATTTAAACAGCTGGTAGTTTTAACTCTGATCTGATGATGCAGGGTTTGGGATTGGCAAGATGTTGCATTGTGCAGAGCTTTATACCCTCCAACTCATCACATTCCATGTGGCATCTCTCTCTTCCCCAGGGCCGCCATGCCTCTGTGGATGAAATCACTGCCTGTGCCCTCAATGCCATCGAGCTGGACAAGAAGCACGGGGACGAGGCAGTGCAGGTGCGCGTGACGATGGGCAAGGAGCCCACGCACTTCCTGGCCATCTTCAAGGGCAAGCTGATCATTTACGAGGTAACAGGGCTTTGGGCGCGTGGGCAGTGGAAGGTGCAAGCACCAAGGTTGGCTTGGCGGTTGCAATGGAAGCAGTCCAGAAAAATGGGCTGATATTCAGGAAGGGAGCCTGCCAGGTCTGCATGGGGCTGGCAGATGGAAGTGGTGGAACATTTCTACTACTTCCCAAGTAGTCTGAACACCATATGTGTAAACAGAGTCCTGGACTGACCCAGACTCAGCTGTCCGCCCCTGAGCTCCAGCGTTAATGTGTGATGTTTTTTCCAACTCTATCCCAAAATATTTTGCAGCGCTAGAATAAGACAATCATCCTGTGAATTACAGATACCACTATCCAGAGATGGTCCTCCAAAATATCCTACAAACATTTACTTGACTTGTATTGTCCCCACCTGAATTATATCACATTAAATACTAACCCACTTCACTTGCTGCTTTGGCTGGCCCCATCCATGGTGGAGACATTGCAAATGGATCGGGGAGAGGAGGATTGGCCTCAGCTCTCAGTGTTGGTCCCTCCGTAAGGCTTCCATGGCAGATGTTCAGCTAAGCTGGGCACAGCTGGAAATCAGAGTCCAGCTGCCTTGCCCCATTCACACAGCAAATGCTTTGCAGGCACTAAGATCTGCTCATATTGAACGTGAGCATTTTGATGGGAGCTGGTCAAGACTCAGAGTAATGAGGGAGAAATGTTGAGGTTATGTAATGTGGGTTTTATTCTGACCTGGAACCAGAAGTTATTTGGATATCCTCACCTGCTCTGTGCAGGACCATGGTCTGTCTTTACAGCAGTGTGGAAGGTTGCGACCCCAAGAGCCTTCTTCCTCAAAGCAGTTGTATCCTGGATTTGTATACCTTCTTCACCTCCCCAAACCATCCTTCTTTCTGTTTTCTTGCAGGGTGGCACGAGCCGGGCTCAGAAAACCATGCCCGAGCCTACAATCCGCCTCTTCCAGGTGAGGGGCACGGACGAGATGAACACAAAGGCCACAGAGGTGCCAGCCCGTGCCTCCTCACTCAACTCCAATGATGTCTTCCTGCTGACGACCAGCCAACTCTGCTACCTGTGGTGCGGGAAGGTGAGAAGTTGCTGTCTCCTTCTTCCACTGAGCTGTGGAGGCGTATCCTTGGGCATGTAGAACATTAATTTCAATGGAGGAAGGTAAACACAGGAGAAGGCTCCATCTGTGGAGAATTAGCAGTAGCACAGACCTCTCTGTACTGAAGCAACCCATCTGGGGCTTCACCTCACCTCATTTTAGAGGTTCATTTGACTTTCAGCTGAATAAAGAATCCCAGGTTTTCCAACTGTAATATTAGCCAGGATTAGACCACATTCATTTATTCTCTTTTAGTCCTCTGCTTCAGGATGAGATGGCAGATCAAACAAAAGCAGAAGAGTTGCCCAGGGAAGTTGTGGATGCCCCATGATGGAAAGTGTTCAAAGTCAGGCTGGATGGGGTTTGAGTAGCCTGATCTAGTGAAAGATGTCTCTGCCCATGGCAAGGGGTTGGATTAGGTGATATTTAAAGGTCCCTTCCAACCCAAACCATTCCATGATGTTGAGTTGTGCCTTAGATGCCATTGGCTGCACTGAATGTCCCTTCAAGTACTAGAAATGGATTCTGAATGACCAGTTCGGATGAGATCCTCAAAGGCATTCAAGCAAGTCTTTAGCTTTCCAGAGGAGGACTCAACCAAGCCAGCTTTTCCCCACAGATAAGTTTTGCCACTCTGCCCCTAACTCCACCTCAATCTTATGTTCTGAACACAGGGCTGCAGCGGAGATGAGAGGGAGATGGCAAAGATGGTGGCTGACATCGTCTCCAAACGGGACAAGCACACCATTTTGGAGGGACAAGAGCCAGCAGAGTTCTGGGAAGCCCTAGGAGGCAAAGCACCTTACGCCAGTGAAAAGAGGTAATAAGTGACCTGCTTGCCCCACTGGCCTTGGCCAGGCAACATTAAGCAAAGGATCAAAACGTTGCAGGAGAGTAAAGCACTTTCATACCTTGTCTTCACCAAAGGGAGCACCAGGCCAGAATATTGCCAAAAACTTGGTCAGAAACCACACCGAGATATCTCTTTCTTGGGCTTTGGGTCAGACCTTCTGAAGTAGGAGCTGCAGATCCAAAATCTGCTGACAAGGGTGTGCTACACCCTCCTTTCCCCAAAGCAAATCCATCCTATATCTTGTCGTAAGAGCTACATGAACCACATGCTCCATTTCCAGCCATTATTAGCTTTATGGGCAGACGCAGAAGATTTATGAACCTAAACCTGCTTTTAAACAACCTGGTTTTCTCTGGTCCTCTGGTCAGGTGACATGTTCCTTTGCCACTGAGTGATCCCATGTGGCTTTCACCTGACAGCAGGTTCATGTCTACAAGGACAGAAGGGTTCTACTTTTGCCCTCTTTGGATGGAGAAAAAGTTACCTTTAAAAATTAAGTGGTCTGAGAATCCTCTGAGACCTGACATCATTGCCTGACTTTCAGACCCTCAGAGGATCATTACCGTGTTCCCACCTCTTCCATCAAGGTCATGACAAGTAGCAGCAGGGTCCTGCGGTAAACCACAAGGGAAAGGTTTCCATCTCTCTTCCTTTTTCTTTCCCTGCCATGCATGAGGAAGGTTTCAAGAGCAGGTCACACACTACCAGCCTCGCCTCTTCGAGTGCTCCAACCAGACGGGTCGATTCATCATGACAGAGGTGGTGGGCTTCTGCCAGGAAGACTTGGATGAAGATGACGTCATGCTGCTAGACACATGGGAAGAGGTCAGCCCTTCTCCTCTTCCCCCTAGACATATTTTCAAACAAGTTGTGGCTTAATTTGTTTTAATCCATCGTGCAACGTGAAACCAAGGTCAACAGGCCTTCTGTCCCATCTCAAAACCCTTCATGGTGCTTGGTCAGACAAGCAGGTGTATGTCCAATCCTGCTAACCCAGGTACCAAACACACGAGTGAGGTGTTATTGCCAACCCTGTTTCAGAAAGGAGGGAAGCAGAGACTCCAGGTCCATGCCTTGCTCCAAGGAAAGACAAGCTGGACCTGCTCCAGACTTTGCCAGCTCATACAAGGGGGTGGCACCCAGAAACCCTCCCCCTCATTTCCCAGCGCCGATGGTGAGGACTTGCTTTAGCCTATAGGAAACTGCCTCTGAGGGGTTTGCTTTCTGAGGCCATTTGATTTTTTGTCCATGCACAGACTGAGTTTAGCTACCTTGAAGCGTGTGAGGGCTGTTTCCTGAAATATTTATGTTTTGGGCCTGTCTCAAAAGCAAAATCCTTCTTGGCTGGGAGGAAGTCTGGGATCAAAATCCCAGGGGACTGTTGGGAAACAACGATTCCTGTCTTATCTCTGCTTCAGTTGGCAGGGTTGAATAAACAGCCGTGCCTGCACAGGTCCTAACCACTTACTGATCTTCAACACCATCTCTCCTTGCAGATTTTCCTCTGGATTGGCAAAGCCTCCAACACCTACGAGAGGAACGAGGCAATTGCCTCAGCTAAGGAGTATCTCAAGACCCATCCAGCAGGGAGAGACTTGGCAACTCCAATAATACTGGTGAAGCAGGGCTACGAACCCCTCAACTTCACAGGATGGTTCAACGCTTGGGACCCCTACAAGTGGAGTGTAAGTTGCTGGAAAACCTCCCTGCTATATACCCGTGCTCAGTGATGCTTAAAGGGTGCATGGAGTGAAACCTTGCTTTGGCATGTCCTGGGCTTCACAGCTTCCTGGTGCTACCTGAGCAGCATCTACTCCTTTGCCAGCAAAAAGTACCTGTTCGGTGAAACTGAGGCTTTTGCATATATAAGTAAATGTGCTTTAATTCATAATATGCACATTTTTATTTTAAAAACATAATTAGGTTCCATGTCAGGTTTGTTATTTCAACAAAAAATAGGTTGAGGCTGCTAGTAGTAGTAGTAGTAGTAGTTCAGAGTGGCAATAGAAGCACCCTGCACCATTAAAAAAAAATAATGAAAAAAGTTTCATTTTTCAAAATACAACCACAGAGAAAAACCTATGACCCAGCTTTAAGGACAAACTCTGGTGAAATGAAAGATGTGAGAGGACAGGTCTCATCTCCAGGTCTGCAGAATGTCCATCAGAGCACAGGAACTCCTGAGCAAGGTGACCCTTGGTCACTGCATCCAAGCCTTCTTCTCAAAAGCTGATTTACAAACACCAGGTCTTCACTATACAGAAATGGAAACCTGCCCCAGGAGGTACCTGGGAAAGGAAGAAACCCTTTCTCTCCTCTTTTAAGCACATGGGCTTCAAATAATTTTGGTAGTATAACGTGGAGCAGAGATTTGCTTTCCGACTCTGGTTGTGCACAGTGTGGCTGGATGGAGGAAGGAGTGATGCACTTATCTCCACGCAGACCATGGACCAGCTGGTCCAGCCAGCCTGGGGGCTCGGTGCTGTAGCACAGAGTGTGTTAGGAATAAAGGACAATTCTGGAGGAGCTTTGGTGGTTCATAGAGCCAGAATATCGGTTCCTAGCAAACACCCAGGTGGAAGCAAGGCTGCCAGGCTGTGCACATAAATTCCTGCCACCCGATGGCACTGGTGGGCACGGTTTAAAAAAAAAAAAAAAATTAAAAAAAAAAAAAAAAATTAAAAAAAAAAAAAAAAATTAAAAAAAAAAAAAAAAATTAAAAAAAAAAAAAAAAATTAAAAAAAAAAAAAAAAATTAAAAAAAAAAAAAAAAATTAAAAAAAAAAAAAAAAATTAAAAAAAAAAAAAAAAATTAAAAAAAAAAAAAAAAATTAAAAAAAAAAAAAAAAATTAAAAAAAAAAAAAAAAATTAAAAAAAAAAAAAGAGATGATGGGCAGCTGGGAAAAGCTCAGCTCCCAGGTGGTGTTTTACCAGACCCTTCCCCTTCCGTGAACATCAGTGTTCAGCCAGTTCACAAGCTGTCCTTTCTTCTGGTTGCCCAAAGGACTGTGAGCAAAGTCCCATGCTGGAGGTGGGACAGAGGGGGAAGTGAGGTGAAGGTCCCCAGGACGCTTAACACTGCAGGAAATCTTATAGAGAGATATTATTTTTTTTCTGTAGCTGGGTTTGCATCATCTTTCTTTGCAACTGGTGTGGTGGTAGAAAGCCTGTCTTGACAGCCAGGTTTGGACAGATAAGACAGCAACTCCCAGAGCACTGACCCTTAAAACAATGTTGGTGCTTAGAACAAAGGTCAGAACTTGGTGGCTGTTGTGTTTTTTTTTTTTCTGAGGAACTGCTGAAAAACAAGGATACAGCTCATAAAATATGTGCCGCTAAAAATATCCCCTGCAGGCGGCTTCAGCAACTGCAGAGAAGCAATCCAAACTGGTGACATCCCAGAAACATCTGGGGGGGGGTGTTCATTGCTCAGTTTTGGGTCTAAATCTGTTTGCTCTGCAGTCCATGTGTTTATGTTGTTTGTTTTTGTTGGGGAACTTTGTTGAATGACTCTGTTCAGAACTGACATCTCCTGGCTGCTTAGGAAAACACAGTCATCAGCTTTGCCAATACATCCAGTATATTCCTTTTTTTTATTTAAGGAAATAAAAGGCAGCTGGTAATACATGGTACCAAAATACAAGAATTCAGGACTGAGGCTTTGAAAAAGCTGTTGCTTTAGCTAGGTAAATCAGAGAAGGGAAGAAAAGGAATATAATTTTATCCCAAATTTTCATTCTTTGCAAGATTCGTTTAAAATTTAAAAGATTTAGATCCAGCAGTAAATATTATTTCTCTTTATTTGCCTTCTGCTCTCTGAAGTCTTTAAAATTTCCTATTTTCACCTGTTACTGTACAACTGAAAAGGCTAAAGTCCATTTGTTTCTTTGTTTTTGAGTGACAGCTCTGATTCTGGGACAGTCTCCTGTTTCCAGGAGCTGGAGATTGCAGGAGGCACCATCTGCCACCTCAATAGGCACCACTGGGCTTTAAAATTTATATGATCTCCTGACCCAGTTAGAGAATGTGCTAATTAAAGGTGATCCATGCTTCTTACAACTCTCTTTACCTTTAGGATGGCAAGTCCTATGAGGAGATGAAGAATAGCTTAGGAGACATGTCGGCTATATCGGAGATCAAAGTGGTGAGTGTCTTCTCGACCATGTGGGTGGGAAACACCTGGGTTTACACACCACTGTGTCCCCCCGAGCCTGTTGGCTTGAAGGAGAGGACATAATGATCAGAGCAGGCCTGGGGATCTCAGGATGCCAGGATCAGAGCTGTGGTCCTCTGCGGAATGCAGAGGGAGACACAATTGATAAGCCCTATGTATGACTAGTTTTTAGTGCTGTGGTCCCTGAGACCCTGGACAAGGGGCCCCTGGTCAAGAAGGGCACAGCCCAGTGGGGGTCCTACAAAACACAGAGGAATCAAGGTCCCAACAGTCCCAAACGTCATGGTCACATGGGACCAGTTCTGCCCTGGACAGGGGCAGGAGGAAGGCTGGAAGCTGCAGGGGCTTTGAACCAGGGGAGATGGCAAGTTGGGGAGAGGTACACAAGTAATTTAGATATTTTAGATGTGGCAGATATCTAATCTCACCTTCTGTACCCTCTCCCACACCTTCCCCTGCTGTTATCTTGAGAAAAATGAGAGTATTCTAAGTATCTTCTGGAATTTCTAAGGGCTCTCATGAGTGCTGAGCTTTTAGCAGTCCTAACATCAAGGCGTAACGTCGATGGAGATGCTGGACTAATGTTTCAATTGGGATTTTCTCCTTACCACTTTGGAGCAACAACCCAACAGATAGTCTGTGCCAAAAACAGTTCCCCCAACCCCAGCAGAGAAAGAGGTCCAGGGGTAACCCCCAGCTTGCTCTGCCAAAGCTGAAAGTTCCCCCAACCCCAGCAGAGAGAGAGGTCCTGGGGTAACCCCCAGCTTGCTCTGCCAAAGCTTGACATCGTTTTCCTCCATTTGGCAGGACCTTAACAACATCAGCCTGAACAAGAGAACCCTCAGCATGACCAACTTGGCTGGTTCAAGTACGGCAAGTGCTTCCCCAGACTACAAATCACACTTCAACCACAGTAACAGCAACAGCTACAGCAGCAACTACAACAGCAACAGCAGCTCTTCCCTGATGCCCAACGGTGAAGGATTTTACTCCCGAGAGGTGCTGATGAATAAGACGCTGGATGAACTTCCAGAAGGCGTGGACCCCACTAAAAAAGAGGTGACAGAATTTCTGGTTTGATGTCTTTGTAGCTTAACCTGGAACTTGGTCATTGGCTAAGGGCACTAGTACTTCAGACTATTAAATCCTGCTTCAGGCTGAAGGAGACAGTAGCTGGACACAGGTCCCATCAAAAAGCAGGAGCTTCATGTGAGGAAATTGTGGCAGTTTTATGCTAGTTGAGGTATTACTATTTTTTTAGGGCAGATAAATGAATTTTAAATAGTCACTTTAATATTTTTTTTCTTCTGGTAGAGTTGTTTTACTCTGCCACTCAACATCTGTCCTTGGAGGGACAGAGAGTCAAAAGCACAGCTCCCGCGAGACGAGGTGACGCAGCTGAGAACGAAGCCAGGATTTGCATTTTGCTTGGGCTGTGGGTGTTTGTTTTCATTTGAAAATATCCTTCTAGAAAGCATTTTTTTTCTTTTTTTTTTTTTCTTTTTTTTTCTTTTTTCTTTCTTTTTTTTTTTTCTTGTCAGAAAGCTTGCCTTTCACCATCCAGGGACAGGGAGGAATGCCACATCTCAGATTGCTGATCAGCCCAAGGAATGTGGCAACATCTGTAGCTGGGTCCAAGCAACGGGGAGGGACAGAGGGCGTCAATTCCTTCTGCTCTCTACAACCCAAGTTTGACCAATTTCTTGCCCCAAGAGATCTCCTGGCAGAGGCCAACACCCCCAGCCAGAGAGCTGAACCACAGCCGGGCCAGCAGCTCCTCCCCAAGACACTGCCCAGGGTTGTATTTGAGCTGGGCTGTACCTGAGTGCCCTCTTCCACCAAAAATTCCAGGGAAAACTCAACCTCCGTTGCCCACAGGGTCTTTTTCACTATCACTGATGAGCCCACTACCTACGAAGCTTTCTGTCTTTCCAGTCCAGGGGGGAACTGAGTGAAGGCGAGATGCTTTCCCTCTGAATCACCACCTAAGAAACCACCCAAAACTTTGGCCAGCAGAACTTCTCCAACGCGCCGTTAGTTGTCCTGGCCCTCAGTATGGTTAGTGGGGACCACATTCCAGCCAGAGCATGCAAACCCCTCAGAACCTGAACATCCCTTTGGGCTGGTGGGCTTTTTTGCCCTGGTGCTTTAGGAAGCGGGATGAGGAACAGTTGGGACATTCCACTTCCCGCCATGAGGACAGGCAGCAGGACAGGAGCTGTTGGCCTGGAGTCAGGGGTCAGTGCTGGCACACTGAGGAAGGGATAGAGCCAATGGAGGTGTTCCAGTCACTGGGCAAGCCAGATCTGACCTCTGCTTGGTCTCTCCTCCCTCTGCAGTACTATCTCTCTGATGCCGATTTCCATGATATCTTTGGGAAGTCCAAGGATGAGTTCTACCAGATGCCTAAATGGAAGCAGCAGAATGAGAAGAAGCAATGTGGACTCTTCTGAGACCGCAGGGACCATCTGGCCTCCCGTGACTCTGGGACCAACCCTTGCTCTCTTAGGAGTGGCAGGGAAGAAGTACAGACATTTGCTCAACGAACCCAACCCAACATCTCAATCAGGCCAAGCTCCAGTGCAGTTATTCCAGTAGCCAACGTTCAGGGGATGGTTCCTTTCTCTCTGAACCCAAGGAGGCAAAACCTTTTGCAGGATGTTTTTGCCTCTTTTTTGACACTTTATTGCTGATAGCCATGAAGACGAGTGTGTGTCACACAACCATATTGGAGCCTCTTCTTTCCTCTCCCTTTTGCAAATCACCATGTGCACAAGGTTGTGATCTTCCTTCATTTGTAGAAGTTTAAAATTAGGCCAGATGAAGGCCACTTGCAGCTGCTATGTAAATTCTGGGTGGGGAGAGGAGAGGGGAAGCCCTGGGAGGACAGAGGGGGAGCCTTGAGGTCAGGAAAAAGGTAATGGAATAGCCTGATGTGTGATGGGGTAGCCCATGGGATGAGACCAGTCAGTTCAGCCCTTTCTCACCTTGCAAAAAAAGCTTCTCACCAAAGAACAGCAAGAATTGGTTGGAGACCAACACGCACAGCCCAGTGCAGGTAAAACAAGTGAGAACCTGGCTTGGGAAAAACCACTTATTTGGAACATATTTATTAACTGATCTATTTCATGAGGATGATGAGATTTAGGGCAACACACAGCTGTTGATTCTGACTGCCAGACAAGATGCTGTCTATTTTTCTTTCATTCAAACAGCATCTCCAAACTCACCTGGCCTCCCTGAGCACAACAGGGTTCAGGTGAACGTAAGAGTTCACCTCCCTGCAGACCAGAGGCTTGGGGAAGCCAGAAGGGTTTTGGGTACGACCTGGGGCAGTGTCCCACTGAAGGTTTCATCAGGGCTCCATCCCTGTGATGTCCATGGGGCTGAGAGTGCCCGTTCCGCACTGTGAGCTCAGTCTGATCGGGATGGGGGGGGCAGGGGAAAAATATGAGTGGTCAGCAATTAAGGGATACAATTGCAAAATAAAGGAGGAAAGATACATGTTTAAAAACTCAGAAGATGTGGTTTTGCAGCTTTACTCCATTTCCAGCCTGATCAGTGATTTCAAATAAACAGCCAGCAGCAGCACTGTAAGTGTTCTTGGTCAACCCATGGGGTAGGATGGCTGTGGAGAAAAATCTCCAGGTCCACAAATCCTTCAAACAGCTGGTCTTTCATTGCCTTTGGGATTTTTTTTTAAAAGAACAAACGGAGAAGGTGAGGCTCCCTCTGTTCCCAAACAGCACATAGCTAGGACCATTTCATAGAATCATAGACTGTGTTGGGTTGGAAGGGACCTTTAAAGGTCACCTAGTCCACCCTTGCTGCAGTAAGCAGGGACATCACAGAATCACAGAATCATCTAGGCTGGAAGAGACCCTCGGGATCATCGAGTCCAACCATCTACCCTACTCTAGAAAGTTCTCCCCTACACCATATCCCCCAACACCACATCTAACATCTTTAACTAGATCAGATTGCTCAGAGTCTCATCAAGCCCGACCTTGAATGTCTCCAGGGATGGAGCCTCCACCACCTGCTCTGGTCAACCTATGTCTCCCCATGCCCATGTACCCTGCTCCTGAAGCCCCACCGTTGCCCATGGTGGGTACTTGGCCATGAAGCAGTTGGCCTGACTACCCACTGCTGCAGGTGGTGGTCTGGAGGCAGGGACCTCCAGGTGATGGAGTATCCTGGACAGGTCTTTGTGTTTAAGACCCGGTACCCACAACCCCATCATTACCTCCATGTTCCTGCCACCACTTCATCCCATTTCTGCTTGAGGGTCCAGCTTAAACCCCATTGAACCCCCTTGTGCAGAACAAGGTAGGAGTCAAGCAGAGACAGTAATCAGCCAAATTACCTGCGTGATTGCTCCTGTTGTGCTCACGCTGGATACAATCAGTGCACATTATCCCTGTTTCAGCCTCTATTGCCACTGCTGGAAGCAACAATATTTGCATCGTCCCGCTGAGGCGGGCTCCTGCCGGCTCCCAAATTAACGAAGCGCATGTGCTCCTCAATAAAATGCAGCAAATGTCACCTATCAGCCCTGAGCGTGGGCCTAACGAGCATCTTGCAATCAAATGGAGACGAGCAGAAATACAGTCGGATTAGGGAGATCAGGCCGGTTTGCTGCAAATTGCTTTAATTCCTGTCACCAGCACACATTCTTAGAGAGCTCCGGCATGGGATTTTACAGATAATAGATTCCTCTGATATTTGGGGCTGTTGGAAACTGCTGTGGATTTCTTCTCCTTGTGGGAAGAGCTGGTTTTATTCTCTGCCTCCTAGGGAAAGCTGCTCACCTCACCCTCCCTTTCATGTCACTTGCCACTGTCACCACAGTGTCTGGTGGGCCATGTCCTGTTTCTGCTGCTCCTTCACCAGAGGTCTTCCCTAGAGTGGGGCTCCACAACTTCCCAATCTGCTTATATTGTTTTCCTCCATTCGGCAGGACCTTAACAACATCAGCCTGAACAACATCGTTTTCCTCCATTTGGCAGGACCTTAACAACATCAGCCTGAACAAGAGAACCCTCAGCATGACCAACTTGGCTGGTTCAAGTACGGCAAGTGCTTCCCCAGACTACAAATCACACTTCAACCACAGTAACAGCAACAGCTACAGCAGCAACTACAACAGCAACAGCAGCTCTTCCCTGATGCCCAACGGTGAAGGATTTTACTCCCGAGAGGTGCTGATGAATAAGACGCTGGATGAACTTCCAGAAGGAGTGGACCCCACTAAAAAAGAGGTGACAGAATTTCTGGTTTGATGTCTTTGTAGCTTAACCTGGAACTTGGTCATTGGCTAAGGGCACTAGTACTTCAGACTATTAAATCCTGCTTCAGGCTGAAGGAGACAGTAGCTGGACACAGGTCCCATCAAAAAGCAGGAGCTTCATGTGAGGAAATTGTGGCAGTTTTATGCTAGTTGAGGTATTACTATTTTTTTAGGGCAGATAAATGAATTTTAAATAGTCACTTTAATATTTTTTTTCTTCTGGTAGAGTTGTTTTACTCTGCCACTCAACATCTGTCCTTGGAGGGACAGAGAGTCAAAAGCACAGCTCCCGCGAGACGAGGTGACGCAGCTGAGAACGAAGCCAGGATTTGCATTTTGCTTGGGCTGTGGGTGTTTGTTTTCATTTGAAAATATCCTTCTAGAAAGCATTTTTTTTCTTTTTTTTTTTTTCTTTTTTTTTCTTTTTTCTTTCTTTTTTTTTTTTCTTGTCAGAAAGCTTGCCTTTCACCATCCAGGGACAGGGAGGAATGCCACGTCTCAGATTGCTGATCAGCCCAAGGAATGTGGCAACATCTGTAGCTGGGTCCAAGCAACGGGGAGGGACAGAGGGCGTCAATTCCTTCTGCTCTCTACAACCCAAGTTTGACCAATTTCTTGCCCCAAGAGATCTCCTGGCAGAGGCCAACACCCCCAGCCAGAGAGCTGAACCACAGCCGGGCCAGCAGCTCCTCCCCAAGACACTGCCCAGGGTTGTATTTGAGCTGGGCTGTACCTGAGTGCCCTCTTCCACCAAAAATTCCAGGGAAAACTCAACCTCCGTTGCCCACAGGGTCTTTTTCACTATCACTGATGAGCCCACTACCTACGAAGCTTTCTGTCTTTCCAGTCCAGGGGGGAACTGAGTGAAGGCGAGATGCTTTCCCTCTGAATCACCACCTAAGAAACCACCCAAAACTTTGGCCAGCAGAACTTCTCCAACGCGCCGTTAGTTGTCCTGGCCCTCAGTATGGTTAGTGGGGACCACATTCCAGCCAGAGCATGCAAACCCCTCAGAACCTGAACATCCCTTTGGGCTGGTGGGCTTTTTTGCCCTGGTGCTTTAGGAAGCGGGATGAGGAACAGTTGGGACATTCCACTTCCCGCCATGAGGACAGGCAGCAGGACAGGAGCTGTTGGCCTGGAGTCAGGGGTCAGTGCTGGCACACTGAGGAAGGGATAGAGCCAATGGAGGTGTTCCAGTCACTGGGCAAGCCAGATCTGACCTCTGCTTGGTCTCTCCTCCCTCTGCAGTACTATCTCTCTGATGCCGATTTCCATGATATCTTTGGGAAGTCCAAGGATGAGTTCTACCAGATGCCTAAATGGAAGCAGCAGAATGAGAAGAAGCAATGTGGACTCTTCTGAGACCGCAGGGACCATCTGGCCTCCCGTGACTCTGGGACCAACCCTTGCTCTCTTAGGAGTGGCAGGGAAGAAGTACAGACATTTGCTCAACGAACCCAACCCAACATCTCAATCAGGCCAAGCTCCAGTGCAGTTATTCCAGTAGCCAACGTTCAGGGGATGGTTCCTTTCTCTCTGAACCCAAGGAGGCAAAACCTTTTGCAGGATGTTTTTGCCTCTTTTTTGACACTTTATTGCTGATAGCCATGAAGACGAGTGTGTGTCACACAACCATATTGGAGCCTCTTCTTTCCTCTCCCTTTTGCAAATCACCATGTGCACAAGGTTGTGATCTTCCTTCATTTGTAGAAGTTTAAAATTAGGCCAGATGAAGGCCACTTGCAGCTGCTATGTAAATTCTGGGTGGGGAGAGGAGAGGGGAAGCCCTGGGAGGACAGAGGGGGAGCCTTGAGGTCAGGAAAAAGGTAATGGAATAGCCTGATGTGTGATGGGGTAGCCCATGGGATGAGACCAGTCAGTTCAGCCCTTTCTCACCTTGCAAAAAAAGCTTCTCACCAAAGAACAGCAAGAATTGGTTGGAGACCAACACGCACAGCCCAGTGCAGGTAAAACAAGTGAGAACCTGGCTTGGGAAAAACCACTTATTTGGAACATATTTATTAACTGATCTATTTCATGAGGATGATGAGATTTAGGGCAACACACAGCTGTTGATTCTGACTGCCAGACAAGATGCTGTCTATTTTTCTTTCATTCAAACAGCATCTCCAAACTCACCTGGCCTCCCTGAGCACAACAGGGTTCAGGTGAACGTAAGAGTTCACCTCCCTGCAGACCAGAGGCTTGGGGAAGCCAGAAGGGTTTTGGGTACGACCTGGGGCAGTGTCCCACTGAAGGTTTCATCAGGGCTCCATCCCTGTGATGTCCATGGGGCTGAGAGTGCCCGTTCCGCACTGTGAGCTCAGTCTGATCGGGATGGGGGGGGCAGGGGAAAAATATGAGTGGTCAGCAATTAAGGGATACAATTGCAAAATAAAGGAGGAAAGATACATGTTTAAAAACTCAGAAGATGTGGTTTTGCAGCTTTACTCCATTTCCAGCCTGATCAGTGATTTCAAATAAACAGCCAGCAGCAGCACTGTAAGTGTTCTTGGTCAACCCATGGGGTAGGATGGCTGTGGAGAAAAATCTCCAGGTCCACAAATCCTTCAAACAGCTGGTCTTTCATTGCCTTTGGGATTTTTTTTTAAAAGAACAAACGGAGAAGGTGAGGCTCCCTCTGTTCCCAAACAGCACATAGCTAGGACCATTTCATAGAATCATAGACTGTGTTGGGTTGGAAGGGACCTTTAAAGGTCACCTAGTCCACCCTTGCTGCAGTAAGCAGGGACATCACAGAATCACAGAATCATCTAGGCTGGAAGAGACCCTCGGGATCATCGAGTCCAACCATCTACCCTACTCTAGAAAGTTCTCCCCTACACCATATCCCCCAACACCACATCTAACATCTTTAACTAGATCAGATTGCTCAGAGTCTCATCAAGCCCGACCTTGAATGTCTCCAGGGATGGAGCCTCCACCACCTGCTCTGGTCAACCTATGTCTCCCCATGCCCATGTACCCTGCTCCTGAAGCCCCACCGTTGCCCATGGTGGGTACTTGGCCATGAAGCAGTTGGCCTGACTACCCACTGCTGCAGGTGGTGGTCTGGAGGCAGGGACCTCCAGGTGATGGAGTATCCTGGACAGATCTTTGTGTTTAAGACCCGGTACCCACAACCCCATCATTACCTCCATGTTCCTGCCACCACTTCATCCCATTTCTGCTTGAGGGTCCAGCTTAAACCCCATTGAACCCCCTTGTGCAGAACAAGGTAGGAGTCAAGCAGAGACAGTAATCAGCCAAATTACCTGCGTGATTGCTCCTGTTGTGC